AACTAACCCGTCCTCGTAATGAATGCAAGTTTTTGTATGTTCATAATTTAGACGAAAAGAGCTAATCCAAACCAACCTGTCTTCGTAAAGCATGCTAGTCTTTGTATGGTGGGTATAAATCCAGTCAAATCTGAGGGTTAATGCTTCTGATCATCGCTCCTCAACCCTCAACCAAAAATAAAGATGTGGCAACTACAGAAAAGCGTTCCGAAAGTAATCAAATCACTAATTAGGCATTCCAACGACCTGTCAAAACTATTCCAAAATGGCGTTCGTGGCGGAAGTTCCTTATTTCCTATATGACAGTACATAATTTAAAGCTTTTTAAAGTGGACTGTGTGGTTGTTTTGTGACTAAACCCTATTTGTTTTTTCATTTTATTGACTTCATTAGGCTTTTTTCTAATCAAAAATGCCACAAAGGTGTCTTGTAGTTGATTTTAGAAGGCGTTTCAACAAGGATGATGTCGGGTTGTTTTCAGTGCCCAACCTTTCAAATTTTTCCAATTAAAACGTAAAAATTATTCAGTACCACTGTTCCTGCATCTAAAATAAAGCCATACTCGAAATACTTGTAAGAATCTAAGCTTTTATAGGCCTTCATTTGCTCATTGCTGTAAAAACTAGGTCAAAATGTAAACAAATGTCAACTAATCATTTTTTCAAACTTATCGTTCGCCCACATCCCGATTTTCCTGCACTAAAGTCCTCGAATATTCACTCTGCATCTCAAAAAGTATATTATAACAAAATAAACTGTAATTAGCTCGAAAATATTTCAAATAAACTCAAGATAAACAAACAAACGTCTAATTTTCCCCGCTCGCCATATTGAAAAATCACGTGGTTTAGAGAGCCTAATTACTCTGGTTCCTGGAAAGAAGGTTACTTTTGGACCTCAGTCAGTGTTGCCAGATCTCACGATTATTCGTAAGATTACACGATTTTGGTCAGAATTTCACGATCTCACGAATGAGGTAGCAATTCTCACGAATTCTCTCTGTAGTAATACAAATCAGTAATCAAATATAATGTAATCGGAAATAATCGAAATAAAAATCTACCATACAATCTTGATAGATAATCCATTGATTAGCGTCATAATTTGTCAACCAATTGGTCTTAACTGACGTTAAATGCATTGCTTATCTGTTAAAATTACCGACCGGTTAATCGCTTAAAATTGGCTAATCAGCAGGCTAAGTGCTTCGTATCCCAAAATGGCGGCGTGCCTGCGTGAGATGGGCGTTAATGGCCGGTTCCACCAAGGGGAGCCTTAACGATAAGTATTCCCTAAAATGACAGTTTTCCATGGAGAAATGTCAGTTTAGGGAATACTCATCGTTAAGGCTCCCCTAAATTAGTTGGTGGAAACGGCCATAAATCTCATTGTTCTGCCATTTAAAGAAAGGCTGTATCCTCGAATGGCGGCGTGCGCAGAAGAGATGCACGTGAGATTTAACCTCTGCTGCTTGTCTTTCTAATGGGACTGCTTATAGAGCTGAAAATGTCTGTGAAGTCCATGAGAATCCACTATTTGTGGCGTCAGCTGCAGACGTCAACTTTTGGAAGAAAATGCATTATCCGAGTCCAAAAAACGAATTCATAAACGTTGAAATCGCCTTCTCTTAATTTAAAATTCCCAAAAAAATTAACGCACAAGCACTGCCTGAATCGCAAGCAATCCATCGAGGTCTGCAGGTGACGTTACCACTATCAGTTGCTGATAGTGGTGACGTCACTCGCAGACCAGCTGCCGACTCGAGAATTGGCGAATGTACGCCTTTTGAGGATAAGCAGTCCTGAGGATAATGAAAACTAGGTTCACCCCTCAGAAACACCTGCTAAAAAACGGAAAAAACAAGGATACAAGATTTAATATTAAAATTTCTATTTCTTATGGATGTCTACTTTATCAAAAATCTATATAAGAACTTTTGTGCGTTATTTTCTTACAAGCATTTTTAGGTCTCACGATTTCTCACGATTTTTCATTCTCGATTCTCACGAATTTTTTTTATTTCATCTGGCAACACTGACCTCAGTTTCCTGCAAGCATACTACACACTACTACTACTACTACAGGATAGCCTATCCCTTGTCTATCCTCATAAGGCCTGTGTGTAGATCAAATCTCAAGCCCCCTGCTATGCCAAAGTACCAGTGATAACGTAGGCAGCGTGTCATTTCTCGTCTACATTAATTAACATTAACATTATAAAACAACTCTTTTTCATATCTCTTTTGCATCTTCCGCTTCGCATATAATCAAACTTAATTAACATTTTTCATCATAAATTTAAAACTATGACGTTGGCAATGGTGCTAAACCATATGACCGCGATTACTAAAAACGAGGCCTTTAAGCAATCCCTAGTGTGTATTATCCTTGGCCATAAGGGTAGTCATTTGACGGATCATTTTAGATAGGAAAGCCGTGAAACAGATAAAAATGAAGAAAATGGCAATTTTTTCAAATTACACGCAAAATACACACTCTTTGTTTATGTTCGAAAAATACACGCAAGCCAATCAAAATACACGCAAATCGTGTAATTACACGCTAATTGGCAACACTGCATTTCTACGACTAGACTCTTGAAATGCTACCAGTGTGTATCTCAAAAATATCAAGTGTTGCTGAGGCGAAAATTGAAGCAGAATGAGGCAGGACCATAGCAACACATGCAGGAATATGTTTGAGCGATCCTGCGTCCAATGTGTTTCTAAGAATTCTAAGCCAGGGGTGAAGTTACGAACCATAATGAAAATCCCTGTATCTCGAAAATAGTAGTATTACCAGGGTGTGATTTCAAGCAGGATGGAGCAGAACCATAACAACACAAGCAGGAACATGTTTGAGCTATCCTGCTTCCAGTGTGTTTCCAAGGGTGAAGTTAGCCATCAAAATAAAAATTGCTGTTTCTCGAAAATAGTACGTGTTGCCGGGGTCAGATTTGAAGCAGGATGAGGCAGGATTATAGCAGCACAAGCAGGAACCTGTTTTAGCGATCCTGCTTTCAATGTGTTTCCAAGGGTGAAGTTGGCAACCATAATAAAAATCGCTGTATCTTGTTAATAGTACGTGTTGCCGGGGTTAGATTTGAAGCAGGACGAGACAGGACCATAGCAGCACAAGCAGGAACATGTTTTAGCGATCCTGTTTCGAATGTGTTGCTAACTTCCCCGACATCCCAAGCAGCTAATGTAATCTTGATGAGACATTTCTTGTGTAGGTAAATTTAAATGTTAAAATCTCAATTGAAATCTGCTTCAATATACAATTTCTGGAGAAAATATCCAAGGATAGATTCGATATCTTGTAGGACTTTCGATGGGAAAAATAAGACTTCAATTTAATTTCTATACTTGTGACTCTGATGTATTCTTGTCAGTAGGCTTCAGAATTGTATAATTTTGGTCTGCTACTGAGGTAATTTGCCATAAAATCTCTGTGCACGATAACTCTCGAAAAAATATTCGACTCGACAAAACTCGTTCCTATAACTCAACTATAAATAACAACAACCTCAGAATTGCTGAAACAATATATTGGGAATAGCATAAAGAAAAATATTAATAAAATAAATAATAATCGATCAAAATCAAAATGTTTATTTATGCATTTAATCATTACAATGTATATTTTCATATTCTGTCAATGCTAAATTAATAGAGGCCGAGTAAAAAAGTTACAGTTAAAACATCATTGTCACAAACAGAGACACTTGGGCGATTCATAGAAAAATCTCAAGAGCCTAAAATACAATAATTATCGATAATTAAAAACATTTTGATTACCTACTGATTTAGACAAAACTAACTTTATGACAAAATATACCATCAGTACCGAGGTTGATTTTGTTGTGTAATAAAGTTGTTTTAGTCTATTCTGTTCTTCAGCCGGATAAATGAATCTAATTAACTATTTCATGTAAAAAGAAGTCGATTCGATCAAATTTCCCTAAACGCCTGTCCTAATTAATCTGCAATCTTGAGACTTAAAATTTCCATTTATACCTCTAATCTATTACTGAAGACTGAAGACGAACAAGTTTCGTAACAGACTCTTTTTTTCTCTCTCCCAAATTATCCGTGAAAATGATCAGTACTTATTAATTTCAAGTTGAAGATGTTTATTTTATGGAAAATCAAGATCACTACATATTTACTGTTTACGACGAAAATGCTGTGTGTCAGAATTAAGAGTGCTTGAGCGAGTTTAAATAGCAAATTCCTCTGTTCTCCAGCTACAAAAAGAAAATATTGCAAATCGATTTTTTTTTTTGGTTACTAAAATTAGACTTTATCTCAACAATAGCGACGCAGATTAACTGCGCTTACTCGACTTTATCCTCATCGTGTACCATTCGAGGGGTCGTCTATTTTCGTCCGGCTGCTTTGGTTTTTCTAAATACATTTTGCGTACGAACCACTAGTTCGACAATCACTTTCGATGTGGCCAAAACGCGACGCGGGCCCCCGCGATGCAGGACCGGCTTTGCCTTATTTTAACGGCTTCAGAGGGCCTATAATTACTTACTGAAACCCGTTTTTGGGGTTCAATTTATTTTCTACTTAGTGGAATCTTTGTGTTTTCTTGTTTTAATTTCATCCAGGTGATGTTTTTATTTATTTAGAAGCATGTAACATGCCGTTTTCTGTTATCAGGTCTAAGTTTTTGACGTGTTTTATTAGAAATATGTATATTATGTTTACGTTGCAAAATTTTAAATTATAATTACGTACAAGTTGATGGGCGTACATTGTATTTGTTCCTAGAATTTTTATGAGGCAAATGTTATTGCACTAAAATTTATGTACTGTTTCATATCGCTGTTCGAAAATAACTATTTCCAGCATGACTGTTCGGCTTAATGTCTTAATTCTCTTCACGCCTTTTTAATTTTATGACGGTTTTAACATTTTTAAATATTTGTCGAATGAATATCTTTACTTATTTCAAGGTTTTCTTAAGAAATAAAAACATTTTCTTGTAAAATGTCCGCTGCGGTTGTTGCCCCTGCATCGTTGGGACCCTGGTCGGCCTCCCAGAAGAAAGCGGCTTCGAGAATTTTTGCAAAAGCATTACTGTCTGCTTTGCCCAATGCGTCAATAAATAAGGGTTTGTGTCTGGATCGAAATCAGATGTTGACATTTGATTTGGTTTTCTACAGAAAATTAATATCTAATGTTTTATCCGTATGATGGAACTAATTTAATACAGGAAATTATTCTGTATTTTTATTTGATATAATAGGAAATGCAATTGCTTTTTGATATCCAACTATATGCATTCCTCATTTTGTAACTGAAATATCCAAAAAAACTACAGTGTTGAGAATTCATATTGGTATGTAGCATCACTACATAAACGTGGTCGTTTATTCCATATCTGCCAAGTTTATTGCACCAAAATAGACCACTCCAAAAATTCCGTTCCATGTAGTATGAACTTGTATCAAGCCAAACATTATATTTTCGCCATGTTAATTAGAATTCAGCCATATTTTAAAATACTGTAAAAAAAAATTAAATGTCAACACTTGGTTAAGATTCAGGGTGGACATCCGACAAAAAAGCTAGACAAACCCCCGTTAAACTACCTCCTAAAAAAGAGGATTGTAATAATAATTCTTACGAGACCGATAACGACGATGACTACAGTGATGAAGCAAGTGAACATAGCTATAGTGAAGATTCTTCTACATACTTTGGAGAGGTCTGCGTTATTAACTGCTTGTTTTTAATGTTAGTTAACACTTTTTTGTGTTGTTTTATTGCTTATGAAAGTTCATCATTACCATATTTCATTCATGTTAAACCATAACAATTTCTATTGTTTCGTGTTAACAAATAACAGTCTGACATTTCCTCACATGATAATTATTATTTTGAAAAAATATTAATGATTCAAATATGTCATTGGAAAGGTTTTAAGTACCAAAATCTTATAATATGTAATCTATAAAGTCTCAAAATTTAGGATCATCGTTTTTAATTAAGTACCTCAAGAGGGTCAAGGGCTTAAATTCAGCATTTCAATATCTTCACCTTGACCGCGAATACAGACCAATAACTTAAGCAAAATTTCCATAAATGTATAAAGGTAAGGGATGGGGGAATGACTGGCATCTTGCCAGTCATCATTAACTCATAATGCTCTATAAAATTCACCTTTGTAGGGTTTCGTGATAAGGACACTATTTTGCATGTTAAACAAAAGTATAAATTGCATACCTTTTAACATGAATCAATAACAACCGAGAGCGTGACGAAAGAGGGAGGACTTGATCACTTAATGGACCTTTAAGTCTGAATAAATATTTTCCTTTTTATCAACTCGGAAACGGGTACTTTATTTGAAAATCAATTTAACTCTTGTACAAAATGAGAAAACTGCAAGTTCTAAGGTGTAAGTGATTCATACAAATGAATTTTATTCCGAAAATAATACAATAATTATCAATAGAATGATCCTCCCATCAAATACAATACAAATCTACTTTCTTGGGCAAAATGTTACATTATTGAAAACAATAATTGTATTACTACCTAGGTTGGTTTATCTTATATAGTAATGAAAAATATGGTAGTTAAAGCGGCCACATGCACAAATTTTTGAATATTATTAGCGGCACGCTAACGCCCAGGAGATGACATGCCCTGAAGTTTCGGGAGGCTCTATCCAGGTCTTCGGCAACCCATTATAATTCCTTTGCCGCAATCGTCGCGATGGGAATTGCTTCACGCGATATTCCGTTTCCAATATTTGATAGTAGTGGTTCAGTGTTATTCGATCTTCTGTTGCCACCTAAGTTGTGTTCTGTCTAATTATGTTTATGGAATCATATTATCATGTGCAGTTAGTATGCCCTCGAATTGGGTAATCTTTTATTTATAAATCATCGGCGGCTGCACTATGTTTAACATTTTCCAGATGATAGGTTCGATTGTATATTATTATATGAGCTCTGTTTAGTGGTGAAATTTATTTACTTTTGTGTGATGTGTAGTGACTTTTTGTTGTTGGGAAAATGGAAACGTAACTTGTAAAAATTAATAGTATAAGTAGAAAATTTTATCATTTGAGGGAATTTCATAAGCGCAACTAGGCTCCAAATTTGAGAGGAGCTGCAGAACCATTTTTTTTAATTTATTTTTTTGATGGAAAAGAAATGAGACGCATAAAAATAAGTTAGTTTCACGAGGGTTTGTTTAAATGTGAAGGGATGAATTTTCCTTAATTTTGCTTAAATAACTCAATTTTCCAGAATTTTTTCTGGAGTCATTTTTCACTAGAAAATTTTGAAATTTTCTTATATTGAGTTCCTCACTTTCCTCTTTCTTCTGGGAAAATTCCACAATTTTTGCTTTACCAGTTTTCCAGAAAAAAATTGAAATGTGAGAGGATAAATTTTCCTTAATTTTACTTGAAAAAGTCAATTTTCTAGAATTTTTCCTAAAGTGATTTCTCACTGGAAAATTTCGAAATTTCCCTATAATGAGCTCCTCATTTTCCTCTTTTTCCTGGAAATTTTTCAATATTTTCCCTCTGCCAGTTTTCCAGAAAAAAAAAATAAAATGTAAGAGGGTGAATTTTGCCTAAAAATGTCAATTTCACAGAATTTTTTCTGGAGTGATTTTCCATTGGAAAATTTTGAAATTTTCGTATAATGAGCTCCTCACTTTTCTCTTCCTTCTGAAAAAATTTCACAATTTTCCCTTTCCAGATTACTAGAAAAAAATTAAAATGTAAAAAGGGGACTTCTCCTTAATTTTGCTTAAAAAAATTTATTTTTCAAAATTTTTCCTGGAGTGATTTTTTACTGGAAAATTTAGAAATTTTCGTAAAATGAGCTTCTCATTTTCCTCTTATTCCTGGAAAATTTAAAAAAATATCACTTTGCCAGTTTTCCAGAAAAAAATTAAAATGTAAGAGGGTGAATTTTCCTTAATTTTACTTGAAAAAGTCAATTTTTCTGAATTTTTCCCTGGAGTGATTTTTCACTGAAAAATGTTGAAATTTTCCTATAATGAGCTCCTCACTTTCCTTTTTCTTTTGGAAAAATTTCACAATTTTTGCTGTGCCAGTTTTCCAGAAAAAATTGAAATGTGAAAGGATGAATTTTGCTTAAAAAAGTCAATTTTCCAGAACTTTCCTCTCGGCTTTCCTTGGAGTGATTTTTCACTAGAAAATTTTGTAAATTTTTCTATAATGAGCTCATTTTCTTCTTTCTCCTGGAAAAATTTCACATGTTTTGCTTTATTAGTTTTCCAGAAATACCTAAATTGAAATGTGAGAGGATGAGTTTTTCTTAATTTTACTTGAAAAAGTCAGTTTTTCAGAATTTTTCCTGAAGCGATTTTCCATTGGAAAATTTTGAAATTTTCTTAAAATGAGCTCCTGACTTTCCTTTTTTTCTTCTTTTGCCAATTTTCCAGAAAAAAATTGAAAGAAGAGAGATGAATTTTTCTTGAAAAAGTCAATTTTCCAGAATTTTCTCTGGAGTGATTTCTCACTGAAAAATTTCGAAATTTCCCTATAATGAGCTCCTCACTTTCCTTTTTTTCTTGGAAAATTTTCAAAATTTTCTTTCTACCAGTTTTCCAGAAAAAAATTAAAATGTAAGAAGGTGAATTTTCCTTATTTTTGCTCAAATAAGTCTTTTTTTTTAAAGTTTTCCAGAATTTTTTATATAGTGATTTTTCATTCGAAAATTTTAAAATTTTGCTATAATGAGCTCTTTATTTTCCCCTTTTTTCTGGAAAATTTTCACAATTTTCCTTTTGCCAGTTTCCCAGAAAAAAATTAAAATGTAAGAGGTGAATTTTGCTTAAAAAAGTCAATTTCCCAGAATTTTTCCTGGAGTGATTTTCCATTTGAAAATTTTGAAATTTTCCTATAATGAGCTCCTCACTTTTCTCTTTCTTCTGGAAAAATGTCACAATTTTCCTTTTGCCAGATTTCTGGAAAAAAAAATAAAATGTAAGAGGGTGAATTCTCCTTAATTTTGCTTAAAAAAGTTGGTTTTTCAAAATTTGATATGAAAATAAAATAATCACTTATTTAAACAAAATTCATTCAAAAAATGACGTTGTCTGATGGGTCTATTTTATAATGAATGAAATAATCAGCGACAAATACTTTTTTCTAAATTATGACGTCATCGATGACGTAAGTAAGTACAAAAAGTGCAAATAAAATAATTAATTTGGTTGCACTAATTTTTTATATTAGTGTTAGGTAGTGCCACTGTAGGTAGTACTATGGTGGGATACCGAATGGGAGTGCTAATTTTTGCTTTAGGGGTGCTTAGCACCCCCCTAGTTGCGCCTATGGGGAATTTCTATAAAAACTGAGCACCCTGTTTTGTGTCTCGACTACTAACAACAACTACCAAAAATATATTATTATTTTTGGGCTGTAAATTTAGAATATTATCACTGGCCTTTTCAAAATATTTTCCTACCGCATACTTAATTTGTTTATAATTAGTTTCAAAATTTATTTAAATGGTTAATTAATCATACAATTTCCTATAAAAGAATTTATATTCATATTTTAAATATAGCAAGGCCAGTAAATAGATATGGATTTATAAACATTCCTTTATTCCACCAAGTTCTTAAATAATAATATTTTATCAACAATATTGAAAAAGTCATACACATTACAGGCTTTATCTTCAAGAAAGCAACTCCATTTAGATGTCAGAAATCTAAAGCAAATTGTTTATGTGTTCCTTGGAATTAATTATTAGAATGCGAAGAAAACACAAAGCGAAAAAATACCGATATCTCAGTGCAGTTAAGCAATGCCTTTTGGATGTACTGTTTAAGGTTAGTCCTTCCAATTATATCTTTTTCAGTTCATAAGTATTTGCGATTAACCGTTATGCGTCATTTTTATTCCTAAAAATCTGCTTTTGCTGCTATTTGTCACACGCGTTATTTTTGACCCTCCTTCCCTTCAATTCCCGCTCACCTAATTTTACGTAATTATAACTTCGCGCTCAGTCAAAGCTGAGCGTCGCGACGATACGCGTCGGTCTACACGGTGTAATGGTATTTTTAGAATTGACGAGTGTAAACGAATTCAACGGCTACTTTGACGGTGCACAAAGGGAATGCCAAAATAATCTGCCCGATGTACACCTCGGGATTGTCTTATAGCAGGTACCGTCCCGCCTATTACGACGAAGGCGAGCGGTACTCTACTCACTCACATACCTCTAGGACGGTTCCAGATTATTCTTGGCTAGGTGCGAGTAGTTATCGTCCAACAAACACAACCTACAACTCATCCGTGTCTAGAAGATTAACGGATGATACACCGTCTATGGCAAGTGGCAAAAGTGTGAGTGGTTCTGAAACTGGTTCTCGAAGGCCAAGGTACACTCGCTCGTCCACTCATAGCGTGGCTCAACTGCTAAGTGACTCTTGTTCAAGTTTACTCCAAAAAATTACAACAAAAGTCAGAGGACCATCGGCAACTGTTGAACGACAACTTCTAAACAGCAGCAGTAGTGGAAATTTAAGTGTTCACCAACCCAACCCATTGAGTACTAGCAAAAGTAGTACTGCCGTGCCTAACTTTGCTAGTCCTAGGAATCGGATTGAAGATAAATATACCTCTGTTTTAGATAGAATTTATGGAAGAAAAAGGGAATCTGAAAGAAAGGCGGAGCCATCTATAGGGCGAGGCTTGGCAAAAAGTAG